ATATATATATAATTTATCATTTTCAACAGGAACATTTCCAGACGATATGAAAATAGCAGACAGTCCCTCTTTATAAGAATGGTGAGAAATGTGTGTTCACTAATTACAGACCAATTGTTGACACAATTCTCTAAGTTATTAGAGAATTTATTAGTAACCAGATTAGATCGATTTATAGATAAACAGGATATTTTAAGTAATAGTCAATATGGGTTTAGAGCAAATAATTCAACATCAATAGCTCTCATGGAACTAACAGAAGACATAACAACTGCTGTTGATCAAAAACAGTATTGTGTTTTTGTTGATTTAAAAAAGTCCTTTGACACTATTGACCACACCATTCTCCTTGAAAAACTGAATAAATATGCATTAGAGGATTAGCACTACAGGGTGTATCCAGTTATTTGAATAATAGGAGACAGTTTGTACAGGTAAACCATGTAAAATCTGAATTTTGTGTTAATGGATGTGGAGTTCCTCAAGGCTCTGTGCTTGGACAAAGTTGTTTATTTTGTATGTGAATGATGTGGTTGATGTGTCAGGGCTTTTGAAGTGTGTTTTATTTGCAGATGATACCACATTTTTTTGTTCAGGTGAAGATATTGAACGGATGTTAGAGATGATACAGAAATTGTAAAAATACAAACTTGGTTCCAACTTAATAAGTTATCATTAAATTAGGAAAAAAATAAACTACATTATATTTAGTAATAAAAAGAAAATTATCAAAGTCCTATTTAAAATTGACTATTGAAATTGATAGTCAATGAAATAAAAATATTTGGGTGTCGTTATTGATGAGAAGCTGACGTGGAAAACTCATGTAAATTACTTAAAAATAAAAATAGTTAAATCAATTGCATTACAGAATCAGGATCAGAATCAGAATAAAGTTTATTATAGAATAAACTTTATTATCATTGCATCGAGATACAACGAGAACATGTACAGTACATACAGTCGTCTGAAAGATAGACGTAGTGCACAAAGCTGCTACTATAATAGCGCGGCCCTGTTATTCTTCCTCAAAATAATATTTTTGCTTATATAAGAAAAGGAAAGAAAACATGAGAGACGGTATTAAAAAAAAAAGAAGATCTCACTCTGTGTCCTAGGCAGGGCACGATTTGAGGCATCAAAAAAAAAAAAACTACCACAGCAAAGCAACATAAATAGACATGATACATATAGGCCGGTTAAGACGTTGAATGTTTAAGGGAAAGTCATAGCTGAGTCCATATAAGAGGTGTCATTCATCACCAGCTCAGTTGAGGTTCTGTCACATGTCCTTGGGGAAGGGAGGGGTGAGGAGACAAAGCATCTTTGTTTTATCTAAACATTCCAGGAGGAGTTGAGATAAGTCCAGCGTCAAGGCCACAGTTTGGGTCAGGCAGAACTCATGAATTGTTGTTTCTGCCTTTTAAAGTCTCGCTGGTATATATTCTCTGATGGAAACTTCAAACAGCCAAATTGATTCCTTATGCCGAAAGTCGAGCTCAGTTTCTCCAAGATTATTCCCAACCATTCATGTTTGTTGCCAGAAAGTTCACAGTCCTGATAACAGCTGCTCCAGCTCTGACGCAGCTCCACATAAGTCAGTCTGAGTGCTGCCAAGCTTCGACACATCCCACACGAATTTATAGACAATCCAGAATTCACCAGCCAAACAGCAAAAATCCAGTTATCATCATGAATCCAATTTGTTTCCGTCGAGGGTCCTCCTTACCCTGACTCCTGTCGGGAGAAGTTGTTCAATTTTGTTGAGGGACCAGCTGATCCTTCAAATTAGGAAGGTATGCAGGAACAAAAGAAGCTCTTTCAGGGTTCATGGTCACCCAACAAATATATTATTTCATCAACTGAAATTTTTACAATTTTATGATTTGGTTGAATATAGTACTTTACAAGTCACGTATAAAGCTCATAAAAATATTAGCCCCAAATATTCAATTAAAATTTGTTAAAAAAAAGAAAGTCATTATAACCTTAAGGAAATGGAAATATTTGTCAAACCTCCATGTAGAACTGGTCTGAAGGAGCTGCGCTGTAGTTCAGGGAACAGGATGTGGAATTGTCTTGATATCACCATAAACATTTATAAAACAATTTATACGTTTTTAAAAAGATGATTAAGTTAAAGTTATTGGGACGGTTTGGTGCCAGGTGAAGGATACCTGATGTTTTTCTTTTCGATTTGGAGATTGTTCAATCCTGAGTTGTTTTTTGTTTCTAGTTATTTTGTATTTTTTTAAATAAGGGACTGATATTATAAGAATAGTTTTTCTTCTTTCTGAACCCTTTTCATTCAAAGTTTTTTCTTTTTGATGAATTTGTTTTGTTTATTTTGAATGAATGAATAAAAAAACGGCACCAGAAATATTGTTTGGAAAAAGAAAGAAAAATACATCAACAAAACTCCAAGATTCATTTTTATTGTGTCTTTCAATTTCTATAATTTGACACAAACATATATCAACGCATCATCAGCACTTAACAGTACAACATTTTGAGCTGTAGACTTGCACCCCCCACTCCTCCCCCTTTAGGTGCAATCAAGTATGATAGAGATGTTGCTCCGACACGACCTACACATTAAACTGAACTGGTCACACACAGCTCTCTGCAGACATTTGACTCTGCTGGTTAGTGCTGAGGGTTTTCTTACACTGGGAGGATGAGCTGTCACACTTCATCAGAAGTTGAATGTGTGAAGTATTCGTGTGGGCTCACTGCTGGAGGCAGGCGTGACACACACAAAGTTAACAGTACAACACAGGAACCGGGGGAAATTAAATGCACCAAATGAACTCCATACAGGCGTCCTATGTCTGAAGACAGGTTCTAATGGACCGCTCGTTTTCTCAGTGGGTATGGTCTACCTTGTCTACACTATTTTGTGTTGAGTTTTGTCGTGACTTGCCTGAGTGAGGGGAGACCTCTGTCTGGACCTGGACAGCCTGTGAAGTCTTTTTCTGGTCTGTCTGCTCTGGACCTCATGTCCCCCTGCTTTCTCATCTGCTTTTTGTTCTTCCTGTTTCTGTGACAGCTCCTTTCTGACTGAAACAGAACCCTGTCCATCCAAAGGGATGGCTGACCTGCTGTCCTGGTCTGACCCGAACAACTCCTCTGACAGGGGCGGTGAACTCTCTGTCTTTGGGACAAATCTGGGAGTTGACTCAGAGTTCTCTTTTTGTGGACTATCTAGATTTTTTTCACCTTCAAAAAGTTCTGGAGTAAAAAAAAAACTTTTGTCCTCTTCTTCATCACCTTCACAGCTGGGGGAGTTTGTCGGGGGATTTTTTGATTCTCTTCTGGTTTCACTAGGAATGTTTCGGATGGTCTGCTCGGGGCAAAGTGCCTCAGGATTCAGCAGTGGAGGGGACATCTGTGTTGTCTCATGTGCTTTAAATATTGGCTTCTTGAACTTGGTGCTGCGGCTGCAGGTGAAAAGGCTAAACAAAGGCTGAGCGGCTCCACGCTGATCAGACGGGAGCTTTGCTGGGCCGAACTGCAGCATCTTCGATGGCTCTGCATAAAGAAATCAAAAGCAGAGTTTTAGCATTCATAGCATACGCTTTTATTCTAAAACTAAAAAGAATAACAGAATGCTGTGACAACTAGAAAGTTCCTGGAGAAACTTTGCTGGGGACTGCAGCGTTGTGACCATTTTCGTTTTTGATTTGACAGGACTGTGTTTGGTTTCGCTCTCAGCTACCAACCCACCAAACTTCAGCTCAATATGCAAAAACAAATTAATGAGTTATAATCACTTTTTCTTTTAAGCTATGGCGGCCATGTTGACCTTTTGATTTGGATTCGGTACTTTATTAAGAAAAATCAGGTCTCTCTTATAAATGAATCCCCGAGGCTCAGCGGGGTTAACCGGTAGAAATAAAGGTTGAATGAATGAAAATGTGATAGGGAACGTTCTCAGCTATAACTCCACCACTCCTCTGGATCATGGTCATCCAGGCGGCAATGCGGGACAGGCAGACCGCAGAGGTGGCACATGTTTAAGATGACATCAGCAGATTTACAGAGAGAGAGCTCTTTGTCTCCTCCAGCAGGTCCGCTTCCTCCAGCCTCTTAGAAATGCTGTAGGCCAGCAGGGCGACGTTGTTCGCTGCGGCCATCTGGAATGAGCACTGGTGAGCTCGGTTGGAGACCTTGTCACCATCTGGTCATGCTTCCCTGGAGGGACAGGTTGCTGGTCTATCCTGGAAGCTTTTGTCCCAAGTGCCACCGCCAGGCTTGGGTCCGGGGGGGGGGGGGGGGAAACACCGATCGGTAAAACCCTCCACTCTGGAGATGGAGGCGAAGGTGGAGACGGATGTCTTCAGCTTGCCGGGCCCAGCTGCAGCCTCGTTCCAGTGTGACGTCACAGCTGGACAGCGAGGCCAGATGGGGTCAGGGCGACGAGCCGGGGCAGAGCCAACCTTGCTGCCAGATCATCCGATCAGGGCGGAGGGAGGCAAGGGACAGAAAGTCCCTTGTGTTAACATCCTCCTGGATTATGCCAGGCAGCTCCGAGAGGAGGGCGCTGATGGCTGGGAGCGGTGTGGTCACCGACGTGGGAAGATCCGAGGTGGCTGAGCATCCGCTCGGCCGCTCATCACTACGCTCTTCATCAGGGAGGGGCAGCTCCGCATCGCGTTTCTCGGAGTAGTCATTCGATTCACTGCGTGACTCTGCATCAAAGAAGGCGGTGGCGTCGTCCAGCGCATAGCATCCCGCCACAGAAAAAACACTCAGCGGAGCTGCTGCCAACAACGCCTTTTTCAAAGGAATCATCCGATTTACCTTGAGAAAAAAAAAAAACACGTTAGAAAAGGCGGTGCTGTCGTCCAGCGGGTAGCGACCCTGCACGGAAAAACATTCAGCGGGGCTGTTGCTAACATCGCATTATTCAAGGAAATCATTCGATTACCGTGAGGACAAAACCCATTAGAAACGGCGATGGTGTCGTCCAGCGGGTAGCGGCCCGCCACGGAAAATCACTCCTCGGCGCTTACCTTGAACAAGGCTGTTCGTCTCTGCTTCTCCTCGGGGAGGAACAGCTCACCCGGGACGGCAAGGGGTTGGCGTGGCAGAGACCCAGGCATCCTTAGCAAAGGTTGTGCCGGTCAAAGCTGGACAACTTTTCCTTCTTTGTTCTTCTGACAGTGCTAGCTAGCTGGCTGAAGAAAAAATGGGAGCCGATTACCCGGTCTCACCGTAATTTATACGGACCGGGTGTGAGGCCCACACAGCAGGTGGGCATGGACTAAAGCTTTCAGTGCTGCGCTGCGCACCTAGGGATAAACCCACTAGCGACAGTCTTAAAGGGCGAAGCCTATACGAAACAGAACTGAATTTCACTGTGAGTTCTTGCCCTGTGTCACTCTGCAGCATGAAAACATCCACTGCAGGAACTAGTTTAAGTTATTAGCAGATTAGATATTTTTCTGTCTTCTTTGCCTTAATGCTGGCCGATAAGAAATAAATGCCTCAGGTAACACCGTGAGCTTCACCACCTCCACATTACAGCTATCTTTGTTTGCTAGTTTGTCCGAGGTCAGCTCAGCCTGGGTTACATTTCCTCCTGGGCAGAGCGATCTTACCGTTCATGTAAAATATTTGATAATGTTCTTATAGAAACAATTCCTGAATGTTGTTCATACTGTGTTAATGCTACATGTTTGTCTTTTGACCCTACAACTGGGTAACATTACAGTAGACCTAGCCCATTACTGGAGTTTTAATTAAGTATTTTAAGCTATAAATAAACATGATGGATGATGATCATATTGCTTTATGCTAGTCCATTGGTAAGAAGGAGTGATTAGTATTTTTTTTTCATATTGGATAGTGATTTTTCCCAAAAACTTAACTTAGGCTACACTGTGTTTCTTAGACTGTGACTAGGATGTGTGAGAGAAGTGGAACGTGCTCTATTCACACAAGAAGAGCTGTTGGTCAGGATACTTCTTTTTGTGCCATTAACTCTAAAACAGTAACCGAATCAAGTGTTACTTGTGTCGGTAAAACTGGATGAGAAACAACCGTTAAAATACACCAGAATGCAGGAAATGACATCTACTTTATTAAAAATTTTATGGGGGAGGACACCCAGACGCCCCCCCCCCCACTAGTGTCCCCCCCCAACATTACAAACATGCTTCTGACACCAATGGCCACCGTGTTGCTAAATGTCTTCTAGAGCAGGACTCTCACATATAACATACTACTCATCTCATGAACAAGATTATTGTTTTTTAGTTGAAGTAGTTCAAATCACTTCTATTAAACATAAACTACTGGAAACTGCTGCTGTAATTTGATTATTTTAATCATCCATGTAACTTGCTATGATCAAAGTGGTGCACATCTGGTGTTGCTCACAGTGGTCCTCACAGAGCTTGTGTGTTTGTCCAGACACATGAAAAATTAGAGGGATCATTGGGTGGATGGATATGAGAAATGATGACATCACTACACACTGGTCTTTTGACACCAGTAGAAACAAATTTCTGTGTTTTTGTGAACTTGAAGAGAAAATTAATAAACCTGCCAGAGACATGAGTCTTGCCATTCCAACAGTTAAACTTCCGTTTTTCCTCACCTGCTTCTTTATTGTGTTTGGCGTTCAGTTGTGTACTTCTGTCCTGCTGGGCTTCAGGTGGTTTGTCACTGGAGCTGCATGTATGAACCTCTGGAGCTTTGGTCAGGCTTTGGTTCCTGGTTGATAAGCCAACAATGCTGAGAGTCTGGTTGTCAGCAGGGGCCCCCTCCACCTTCTGCTGCCTCTGAGAGAACGCTACCAGAGACTTCATGGCATCGTCGAAGCTGTTGGGATACTGGACAAGCTGACGGACCCATTTAGACAAACCTAAGATACAAAAACACAAATGACAAAAGGGCAAATGAAAATCTGATGGTGAAGAACTATTGCCATCTAGTGTTAAAATGAGAGGCTGAGCAGATAAACCCACTCATCATAAAAAGTTGGGCACCTGTGATGTACTTATTAGGATTATTCCTGTACCGGTCATCTACAAGAATGAGGGCACCCCAGTCATTCCTGTGGCGGATGCATCTATAGAACACAGTTAAAACTTCAATAAGAGAGCTCAAACAAAAATCTTTTCAGATATTGTGAAGTAAGTTTCTGTACAGCCATACCTCCCCAGGGCCTGGTTGAGAGCTCTGTAGGCCTGAATCTCATACCAGCGATGGCCAGGAAGAAGACCTCTGGACTTGCAGTGCTGGTCATTGTACTTCATCTTCAGTTCCACCTACAACAGCAGACAGCACATTTCTAAAGTGACTGAGTCGATACGTTGGACAACAGGCTTTGTTCTCTATGGATGTTTCCCACTCTGGGGGGGATCTTACTTTCCATTCAGTGATTATCTATATTATAGGGGAGTGGTGGTGCAGAGGTTAGAGGATAGGCCTGTGTTCGGAAAGTCACAGGTTCAACTCCCCGGACTGACAACATCCAAATGTGGGTGGAAAAGGTGAAACACCCACACCTGCCTCCACCCTCATTCGTCCCACTCTGGGCCCCTGAGCAAGGCCCTTAACCCCCACCATCTGCTCCCAAAAACAGGTCTCTCTTGAAAATGAGTTCTCGTGACTCAGAATCAGAATAAACGTTATTATCATTGCACCGAGATACAACGAGAACATGTACGTACAGTCATCAGAAAGATGGGCGGAGAGCACGAAGCTGCTACTATAAAAAAGTGTGGCCCTCTTAATCTTCCTCAGAATAATATTTTGCTTAGATGAGAAAAAGGAAGAAAACATGAGGAGAGACGGTATAAAAAAAGATCTCTCACACCGTGACCTACACAGGGCATGATTTGAGGCATCAAAAAAAAACCTACAACAGCAAAGCAACATAAATAGACGTTATACCTGTACATGAAAAAGAGGCTCTTTAAGGGTTCACAAGACGAACAAGAGCAAGCAGGGACGCCGGGGGGGGGACGGAGCAACGGGAAACACGTCTGACATTACCGGAGTACAGAGAGTGAGAGAAAAAAAAAAGAGACTAACCTTTATAAATAAAGGGTAAATGGAAAAAAAATTCTAATGAACATTTCATGTTTTGGACTCTCGGGTGAAGGACTCTCCTTTAGAGACAGGGTGAGAAGTTCAGTTATCAGGAGAGACTCGGAGTAGAACCACTGCTCCTCCACGTCGAGAGGAATGAGTTGAGGTGGTTTGGACATCTGGTAAGGATGCTCCCTGGGCGCCTCCCTAGGGAGGTCCTTCGGGCATGTCTGACTGGGAGGAGACCCTGGGGAAGACCAAGGACATGCTGGAGAGACTATGTCTCTTGGTTGGCTTGGGAACACCTTGGAGTCTTCCCAGAAGAGCTGGCTGTGGAAAGAGATGTCTGGGCCTCCCTGCTCAAGATGCTGCCCCCATGAACTGACTTCGGAATAAGCAGAAGATAATGGATGGATGGATGAACATTCCAAAATAATTATTTCTAACTATAAATTTTGTCACGATCAACGGCCCCCGCTGGCCCCCCATCTGCTCACTTCCCTGTCCCTTCATAACATGACACATTTTATGCGCCTCTCCTTCATGTTTTATTGATCCATCAGCTCCTGTCAATCTGCACTTCAAGTCTGCTCATGTCACTTCTCTGTCACACGCCCACTCAGCTGATTCACCACAATGAACCTTCATGCCTGCTCTCTCCACTACTTAAACTCCATGCTCGTACTCATTTGGTGTGAGATTATTAAACCTCTCATGGTCCCTGATTCTCAAGCCATCCATAGTTTCATGCCTGAACCTCAAGCCTTGTGTTTTGGACTACGACCTCAAGCCTGCCTCGGATTTATCTCTCTGCCTGCTGCTCGTATGGTTCTGCTCTGCCCTTCTGACACTGGTATGGCAACTTTTTCTGGCCCTTTGACTCTGGATTTGGGATTACCCCATGGATCTGTTTAAAGAACTCTGACTCCCCATGCTTGACCCTTGCCTTGCCTTCTGGATCACAATCCTGGATTACCCTGCTGTTCACAGAATTACAGGTGTCCCGATTGAATTTGTTGGTTCCTATAAATATTTGTGTATCTTGGTCGACTCACATCTCTCTTTTAAGCTCCTTGTGGAAAACTTTGTAAAGAAACTGGAAGTTAAACTGAGTTTGTTTTTCATAAACAGATCCTGTCTAACTCTGAATGTTAGGAAACACCTTGTATCTGTGACTTTCCTTCCCTCCATTGATTACGGTGACATTATTTACATGAACGCTCCTACAAGAACCCTGCAGATGTTGGATGCTGCAGATGTTGGATGCTGTCTATCATGGTGCACTAAGATTCATAACTGGCTGTGGTTAACGTACCCACCACTGCACTCAGTATTCACTGGTTAACTGGTCACCATTAACTTCACACAGACTCTCCCACTGGTACATCTTCATCTTTAAATCACTTCTTGGTCTGCTGCCTTCATACATCTCCTCCTACATGTCTCTGTGTGAGTGCAGCTACAGCGTGCGCTCTCAGGACATTATTACCTGCAGTGTTCCCTCAGTGAGGACTGAACTAGACAAAAGGACCTTCTCCTACTCCGCTCCTGTTTCCTGGAATATCTTGTAAAAAGATCTGAAGCTCTCGACCTTTGACCTCTCTAAGTGGCTTTAAGAATATGTTGGACTCCTGGCAGGGACCAATGCAGACATTTTTTTTTTTTCATTTAGCCTTTATTTATCCAGGTTAGTCTCATTGAGCCACGAGAACTCATTTTCAAGAGAGACCTGTTTTTTTTTTTTTTTAGGGAGCACATGGTGGGGTTAAGGGCCTTGCTCATGGGCCCAGAGTGGGGCGAATGAGGGTGGGGTCAAGTGTGGGTGTTTCACCTACCCCACCCACAATTTTTGATGTTGTCGGGGCCGGGGCGTGAACCGGCGATCTTCGGATCACAAGCCCACCTCTCTAACCTCTGCGCCACCACTCTCCTAACATGTTCCTGTTTTTAGTTTTCTACATTCGCCTTAGAATCTAGCTGTTTTTTGTTACCTTTTTTAGCCATCCTATTTGTAAAAAAAAAACAACTGTAGTATGACTTTTTATAACTGATTATTGTTGTTGCTGTTGTCCATTGTTGTCATCTTTCTTTGTTGAAATCAGGTCTCTCTTGTAAATGAGTCCTCGAGGCTCAATGGGATTTACCTGTAGAAATAAAGGTTGATTGATTGATTGATTGATTTATTGTGTCTGACAGAAACTTGGCTACAACAGGAGGATTTTGTTGGTATAAATGAATCCACTCCTGTTAATTATTTAAATTTTCATGCTCCTAGAACAACTGGCCGAGGTGGAGGAGTAGCTTCTATTTTTCAGTCAGGATTATTGATTAATGCCAAACCAGTTATTAGTTATGATTCTTTTGAATCGCTGTCCCTCAGTCTTTCTCATCCAAAATGGAAATCAGAAAAGCCACTTTTACTAGTTGTTATATATCGTCCACCAGGAGCTTACTCTCAGTTTTTGTCTGAATTATCAGAATTATTAACCGACTTACTATTAAATACTGATAAAATCATAATAATGGGCGATTTCAATATTCATGTGGATGTTGAAAGTGATAGCTTAAGCATAGCCTTTAATAATTTAATAGAGTCATTTGGTTTTACCCAAAACGTCCGCACATCTACTCATTCTTATCATCACACTCTTGATTTAGTTCTGACCTATGGTGTAGAGATTAAGGACTTGGTAATAGTTCCTCAAAATCCTGTTCTGTCCGACCATTTTTTAATAACTTTGAGTTTACATTAAATGACTACACAGTCACTGAGAGTAAATTTCATCTCAGCAGGTGCTTATCAGAAAATGTTGTAACCAAATTGAAACAATCTCTTCCATCAATGTTTCCTCTGTCTTGCAGAGTAATGCATCAGAGAACAGAGACTTAGATCATCTAGTTGATCATCTTACAACTTCAATGCAAACTTCCCTTGATAAAATTGCTCCACTGAAAAAGAAAGTAATCAATCAGAGGAAACTGGCTCCTTGGTTCAATTCTGAGTTACGCACTTTAAAGCAGCATCTAGAAACCAGGAGAGAAAATGGCGCTCTACTAATGTTGAAGAATTTTATTTAACTTGGAAAGATAGTCTGCTAACATATAAAAAAGCTCTCCGTAAAGCTAGAACTTCATATTACTCATCTTTAATAGAGGAGAATAAAAATAACCCTAGGTTTCTGTTTAGTACTATTGCTAGACTAATTAAAAGTCCCATTTCTGTTGAACCATGTATCCCTACAACTATAAGTAGTGATGACTTCATGAGATTCTTTATAAATAAAATTATTTCAATTAGAGAGAAAATTCAAACCATCCTTCCTTCTACTATCTCTAGTCCCCTGTCAAATGAGACAACTGTAAAAATTTCACTAGAGCCTGATTTATGTTTGGACAGTTTTTGTCCTGTTGAGCTCTGAATTGTCAAAAATAATAACCTCATCCAAACCATCCACATGCCTGCTAGATCCCATCCCAACCAGACTGTTTAAAGAGGTATTTCCACTAATTAATGTCCACATTTTGGATCTACTTAATTTGTCTTTAATGGATGGTTATGTACCACAGCGCTTTAAGGTTGCTGTAATTAAACCTTTACTTGAGAAGTCTGACGTTGATTCAGAATTTCTGGCCAACTATAGACCTATATCTAATCTAACTTTCATCTCTAAAATTCTATAGAAAATAGTTGCAGGTCAGTTGCGTGAACATCTACAAAGAAATAATCTGTTTGAAGAGTTTCAGTCAGGGTTTAGAGCTCATCATAGCACAGAAACAGCACTAGTAAAAGTCACTAATGATATTCTCATGGCCTCAGACAATGGACTTGTGTCTCTACTGGTCCTGTTAGACCTCAGTGCTGCATTTGATACAGTTGATCACAATATTTTACTACAGAGGCTTGAATATGATATTGGGATTACAGGAACAGCTCTAAAATGGTTTAAATCATATTTATCTGATAGATTCCAGTTTGTGAATGGAAATAATACATCTTCATACACCAAAGTTAGTCCTGGAGTTCCTCAGGGCTCAGTGCTTGGGCAAATACTCTTTACTTTATATATGCTTCCATTAGGTAAAGTTATTAAACAGCATGGGATAAATTTTCATTGTTATGCTGATGACACACATATTTGTCCATTAAACCCAATGAATCCAATCAGCTACTTAGACTACAAGCATGTCTTAAAGACATAAAAACCTGGATGACCCTTAATTTTCTCCTGTTGAA